CCCCCCCCCCACTTTGGTGTCTTCTGTCTAATTGGGATAAATTTGACCCAGAGAGGCTGGAGCAGCAGAAACTCCAAAATTAGTGCAGAAGCCTGAAGGAGTTACCCTTGAAGAGAAGGCTGCTGGTGTTAATGCTACCTTTTACAATAGGGAACAGGAGGTGCAGGCTCAGGAGAAGGAGAGAAGGAAGGACATTAGACTCGCCCAGGTACTGGCCGCACTTGCTCACTGCCCATCAACCACCTCCCAGGTTTTCCAGACCCGTGACCAAAGTGTCCAGTGCTATGTGTATTGGGAACCGGGTCACAGGGCACAGAACTGCCCTCCGTGGAATAGGCCCACCCGAGGGCCATGCCACCCCAGCAAGTAAGCTGGCCACCAGTGTCCCTTGTCCTATCGCCGATATCCAAGGGGGAAGGGGGCTGCAGGCCAGTGAGCAGTTGCTCATTGAAGATTGGCCCAGGCCAGCCCGGACAGCAGAGCTGTAACGGGTTTGGAACCTCGGAGGAAACCATGGAAGCTGTTGCACCCAGACCCCTCAGAAGCAGAGCATACAGACAAGCACCCCTGAGAGCTGTTGGGGTGTTTCGCTGCCACCTCAGGACAGATTAGTGCTCCACAGAAAACCCTACTTCAGACCCATCACAGTCTTTCAGCCAGTGAATGCTTTTACCCCATTCCTGTGTTTAAAGTTAAAGAACTAGCACCCATGCCTGTCCGTCCTAAGATTCCCTCTTTTCTAAACTTCCTGTGACACTAACCCCCCTCCAAGGGCACGGCCATCTCACAGCCTTACCCTTGTCTCACCTAAACTGTGCACCTGTCTGTTTCTTCCAGCAGTTCTCAGGTTACCAAGGTCTCGGGACCAAGTGTGCCAGCTTCAGGACCACCAGCTCCTGGACCACCTCCACCTTATCCATCATGGGCCCTGAGTGGATAAACCCCTTCCCACAGAGTAGGAAGGGTGTGGACCCAAAGCCCCACTCTGCCCCCTTTGCCCCGTACCCCAAAGATTTGTGTCCACACCTCTTCAGGAGGGAAATATCAGGTAGTTAGAACAGAGACCAAGGTGTCCACTGGGCATGCTCAAAAAAAATTCAGGCTCCAAGACAGGAAGGGGTGGGCACCTAGGTGGGTAGTACACCTGGATTGGTCCCATCTAGGCCAGGTGAATTTAATTCAGCCAGTGGAGTCAGCCAGGACTGTCGACCACACATCCCAAATGGGGCCCTGAAAAGCTAGGAACCTTGAGACCATCGCTCTCTTTTCCAGCACCTCCTACACAGTTCAGTGCGGCCTGGCCACGGTCTCTCTCTCTCTCTCTCTCTCTCTCTCTCTCTCTCTCTCTGGCTTGTGTTCAGTTTACTGTAATGCCGGAAACTGCTTCTATCCTTTATTTTAAAAAACTCCACTTAGATGACAAACCAGGCTTCAGTGTAAATTCTTTCTCATCTGAAGCCAAGGACCTAGGTATTTCTCACGTGAGAAACCTTAGTTTCGTAAGTGAAAATTGAGAAATGAACTAGCTTTTCACTGTAGCATTGCTCAAAAGATTAGAAACAGCCTAAATATCCCTCAAAGGTATTTTCAGTGTCCCCCAAAATACTAATGCATAAAACAATGCCTCCCAAAGCATGTGATACTGGCCTCTGGGGATGGGCCGGAATTTCCCAGCAGGGACTACAAACACAACTTCATCCTGGAGTATAGGCTATAGGGGAGACTGAGTAATTTTTCCCTGAAGGGGGAAATAGACCAAATAAGTTTGGAAACCTATGATATAAAACCAAGCAGCATGGATATTTGGTGTAAAATTAGTTGGGAAAATAGGAATGTGTACTCAGGTAGGCCGACATTTACATTTATATATGAAATGAATAAAAATTAATTATGTATCATATGGATTGCGAAATCAGAGCATAGGGGGAGCAAGGGTCGAACTATAATTTTCAATCTATACATTGATATAGCTTTTAAAATGTTGAACTCGGTTAATAAATTAGCAATCAATCTCTGAACTAAAATCCTCTAGAAGGAAATGGAAGTCAAAATTTAGCCTCAAGAGAAAAAGAGGCCATCCGGTATTGAGGAGAATCCAAACAGTGGACAGGCCTTATCTATTACCTGGTCCAAGCTATCAGTTATATATGTAAATGAAGCAAGGGTTTTCATGAAGAAATACAGGTTTTTTCAAGTTGGATTTTTGGTTCAACTAGTGAGCAAAGTTAACAACACCAAGCAGATTTTCTGTGAACTTTGCTGGCCCAGTAGTGGAAAGTTGGAGCGTGGAGCTGTTGGACAACGGAGGTACTACTGTATACACTTTTCTCCCTATGCATACTATACTTTAATACAATGTTTGTACACGTTATCTACCAATTTAAATATGAATTCTAATTGGGAACTTATGTTTGTTCTTTTGGTGATGTCTTATTTTCAACATATCTTATGTAAATACTTATCACCAGTGTTAGGAGTTGTGTGGTTAACCCTTCATTATGTGTGCTACCAGAAATAAGAATGCCTTGTTAAACAAATATTGAGTAGATTAAATATAAATTTTCACACAAGTCCCTTAGGCACATGACATTCTATAAATACAAATCTGATCTAGAATAATAACACTTTGCTTCAAGAAGCAGCAAGTCGCATTGGGAGCAATGGGAATATACATGAGCTCATTTGCATTAACTACAATGAGGGTCCTTGTGCTCATGATTTTGTGACCATGAGGGAGACAGATCTAGCAGAAGAGCACGCGTGCTGTCTCCATACTTACATGTGTGAGATTAACTTCAAGCACAGAGTTGATGTAGGTTGGTGTGTACGCCATCAAGATACTAAAAGGCCAGGATGAACAGAAATACGAAATTAAAATGGCCCAAAGTGGTAGCGATTGAATCATAGCTCTAATGGGAAGAGACCAGCCACTGGAACAATCCTGAAAGGAAGCACATGTCAAATATTCATTCCATCGAAAGATGTTTCCCACAGCACTCAGACACATCCATTGTGGGGAATGGCCGGTACCTGTTTTTTCAGTGCACACATAATGTACTCCTTCTCGTGCTTGCTGATAAAGGGATGATACCTGGGGTCATCATAAACAAGAGAGCACCAGAGAACACTACACATACAACCAATTCCACCTAGGAAAATAGGATCAAATGAGCACAGAATCAG